CCTAACCTAACCTTTGGGAGTGTAGTTGGACAAACATATAAATAGCATTTATTGCTTGTTAATTACAATTAATACTTAACCTATAGCTATATTGATATTACAATTTTATAAAACTAATAAAACAAAACTAAAGTATTTAAATAAATTATAAAATAACTTAGAATATTTTTAAATTTTGTATAATATCTCTATTGTTTAATAAAACTGAAAAAATAATTTTTTAATATTTAAAACTTAATAAATAAAAATAAAATGTATTTACTTATAACTTATAAAATTAAACACGATAACTTCAGTCAAAACATGTTGATTATATTAACAGAAAATGAGGAGACTATATGAGGAAGTAATTGTAACAGCGCAATAAGTGTAATTATGTATTATGTCGGAAGTCAGGAATATAATTATTACATTTAATATTAAAACGTACTGTCTATACGGAGGGAGGAGGGGTTGCCACTGTCTCCAGCCCCAGTCGGACAAGCCAGTCACCCATCACCTTGCGTTCACTGAAATACGCCAAGAAAGAACCGCCTCCGAATGTATTTTTTCTGGAATATAATGGCGTATAATTACGTTTGTTCTTGTTCCCCGCGGGACCTCACACACACAGAGAACATTAGTTGTTGCTCATACTTATTTTCGTCAGCTGTAGCTAACACGAATAATGTTTAGCAGAAGACTTTTGTATAGCACGAGATTTTCGAATTGACTCTGCGGTGATTGACAAGTAATTTGTGTATATAGTCTTGAAAGGTGTTGATATGAAGGTCGAAATAATCAATTGTTACACACTTCCTGGAAATCACTGAGTTATGCTCCGGTACAAACAGAAAAATGCACATAAACACTTACACAAAAAGCTTAAGAACGCACACACACACACACACACTCCCATACAGCACACAAAAAGCCTTAAGAACACTAGTAAACACAAAGCCTAAACACACACAAACACAAAGCCTAAACACACACAAACACAAAACCTAAACACACACAAACATAAAGTCTAAACACACACACAAACATTAAGTCTAAACACACACACAAACACACGGCTTAACACACATAAACACAAAACCTAAACACACGGCTTAACACACATAAACACAAAACCTAAACACACGGCCTAACACACATAAACACAAAGCCTAAAAACACACAAACACAAAGCCTAAACACACATAAACACGAAGCCTAAACACACACAAACACAAACCCTAAAGAACTCACTGCAACACAAACAAATCCTAAACAACACTCTTGAAACATTACGATATAAAACATTGGTTATATCACAAAGGTAAACTGCATTCACTTCCTCTGACGTTGGACCAAGGCGTTATACGGTCCGACCGGAGTCTGTGTAAACAGTTTCCGATCTCTCTTCTTTACGAAGGTAAACCCCACAGTTTCCTGTCCTCTCTTTACTACCCGGTAAACCCATAAATTGATAATTTTCCACCCAATCTGTTCACCAGAATGTTATATAACTGAACATCGCTTACGGCCCGTCCTAGGATACTGTCCAATCCGGATTGGAAAGCATTTGTCAATCGTTGAAGCTCGTAGTCTTATAGCAACTAGGCTATGATTTATACTTTCCAATTAGGATTATAATTTCCGTTGATGCTAATTATAGTGATAAACACACAACCACAACTCACACAACCACATCCTACACAACAGTTGAGAGGCGGGATCATAGAGCCGAAGCTCAACCCCCGCAAACACAACTAGGTAAGTACAACTAGTACCACACATAATTCCCTACGCTTAAAACTTTCTAGTAGAATTGATTCTACGACATTGTTAATCCATAGATCTACAGCCCTATTTTAGAACGAGTGTTTGCCTATTTCTTTTCTAAATCTTGCATCATCCAATTTGAATTCATTGATTCGTGTTTATCTTTGATTTATAATTTTAGAATCCTATTTATAGCTTTTTTTAAGTGAACATTTTGAACCATTTGTGTACTTCAAACATGTTCCTTCTTAGCCGGTTGCTCCGACCCATTTTTTAGTATTAGAAAATAGGGCCGTTCCCAAATAGGCTTCTAGTAAAAGTAAATATAAATTTTTCTCTAAACGACCCATTTTTTTAGTATTAGAAAATAGGGCCGTAAATATTCTAAAAAGTAAATTTTTTCTCTAAACGACCCATTTTTTTAGTATTAGAAAATAGGGCCGATCCCAAATAGGCTTCTAGTAAAAGTAAATATAAATTTTTCTCTAAACGACCCATTTTTTTAGTATTAGAAAATAAGGTCGATCCCAAATAGGCTTCTAGTAAAAGTAAATATTAGATTTTTCTTAAAGTTTTTGATGGACCTAAAGGAATTAACCGTCCAAACAAAACTTAATATTCACTCTGAATGAGTCAGACGGAATCTGGGAAATTATTAATAACCTGGAAGCCTGCTGTAGCGTGAGCGATCACTGTGCATTGACCTTTACGTGTCTTTGATAAGAGGGGGAGCCAGACAGGAAAGATTAGCAAATGGGACGGGAATTGTGTAGAAACAGGAAACATTTTGTCAGGGATTCCGTGAGGACAGAGTTCACTGGTATGATCCCGCGAGGAGTTGATAGACTTCCTCGCACTGACATGCTGGGAGGCAGCTGATGAAAGTTGCTTTCTTCTGTGGGGAAAAGATAAGTGGAAATATAAGAATATCTTATGGTATAACTAGGGGTGCAAAGAAGGAAAGATCTCAAAGTTCAAATTCAAGTTCAAGTATGTTTATTGAGATAAGCAATAAATACATCTCAAAGGGATAGAGTAGCTTAGGCTATTTCTACCCCTAGATCTTAAAGAGCATCGGCAAAATACAAGACTCAAAACTCGACAGAAAAAAGGAGAAAGGTAACAGAAAGAAAGTGAAAAATGTTATAAAGCCGATATACCAGAAACTTAGGACATGGAGGGATCACATTCATAAAGAATAAGGAAGTGGGTTAAGAACTTAAATGTTTCTAAACAAGTCTACACAAGAGAGCAAGCAGCAGCACCTGAACTGAGATAAGGTGGTTATCGACGCAAAGAAATTAGAGCTCACTGAGATTACCAGAGACGACAGTATCAATCCACCTGCTGGAACTAGATACGACGAAGGTCATAAGGCCAGTCAAGAGCGTGCCGTGAACACTTAAAACTGGAAACAGGGGAACTGCCAGAAATATGGAAGACAGACAATGTACCACAAGACAAGAACACACCGATAAAGAAATCCACAAAAGGTATATTGGCCATACGAGGCGGCTCCTATGTCTCCCACACCTCGTTCATATACATAGCTATGTATAAGATATTACAAGGAAGATATTATCCAAAGAAGGCGACAACCCCGGAAGACTGTAATTCCCGTTGTCGGGGACAGGATGCCTTAACTTAGGCTTATTGAGATCTCCCTTGAGCCAAATACTGACCTTTCTCAGGGTGCAACCCAACAACATTCGTCTAACTCCTGGGTGCCTATTTTACTGCTAGGTGAAGGGAAGCATCTTGTGAGACGAAACATTGCCAGCCGCTTCTGTCATGCCCTGGGATTGAACCCGGGTCCCTCGGTTGTGACTCGAGGACGAAGACCAATGGACTATAGGAGCCGGTCGGCCGAGCGGACAGCACGCTGGACTTATGATCCTGTGTTCTTGGGTTTGATCCCAGGCGCCGGCGAGAAACAATGGGCAGAGTTTCTTTCACCCTATGCTCCTGTTACCTAGCAGTAAAATAGGTACCTGGGTGTTAGTCAGCTGTCACGGGCTGCTTCCTGGGGGTGGAGGCCTGGTCGAGGACCGGGCCGCGGGGACACTAAAGCCCCGAAATCATCTAAAAATAACCTAAAGAAGAAGGTTCAGATGTTTGCAACGCGGCTCGTCCAAGAAATGCGTGAGATGGGGGTGTGAAGTGAGACTGAAAGACCTACACCTGACGATAATAAAAAAGAAATAAGGTGGGAAGATATGACAGAGACGTGTAAAGTACTTAGGGGGATTGATAGAGTGGAAAAAAGAGGATATATTCACAGTGACGGCCAAAAGAATCCAAAGGGCATGACTGGAAGCTTGAGACTCAGATGAGTATCAGAGATGTTGACAAATTTTCTTTAACCATAAGAGTAGTTGGAAAATGGAATGAACTAAAGGAGCAGGATAGGTACAGGCAAATTTCGTTCATAATTTTAGTAGCAAACATGATAGGGAAATAGGTCAGGAGTCTTTGCATTAGACAACCAGCAGCTATAGAGGTGGGAGTCCAAGACCAATCCTACAGGCACACATAGGTGAGTACTACAACCACCCACAAACCAGTACCCCCCCCCCTTAGAAATACGCACGAACACCCACCCAGAAGTACACGCAAACACACCCACAAAGAAGCACAAACACACTAACCCAGAAGCACAAACACACTAACCCAGAAGCACACACACAGGACAAAAACATGATTGGTGAGCCTTGCCTCTTCTTCATATAACAAACTAGACCTGGAAGACGCGGGCGGATGATGTGGGAGTCCGGGGTGATGGGAGGTGATGGGAGTATCATCTTAACTCTTCTCTCGTGGGAGGAAGGGTAATGGTGGCAGCTGAGACATAGGAGGAAGTGCTAATTTTGGAAGCTGAGACATAGTGGGGAAAGGTTAATATTACTGCCTTACTCCTCTTCAAGTTCATGCACGGATTAACCAAATTCTTATACTATTATTGTTGTTATAGGTACATTCAACAGGTGAATACTACAGAGCTCAACCACAGACTTATCACTTATGGATATTCCAACATCTGCTACGAGTGACATTTCCAAAACCAATTATTTTCTTCCCAAGAAAGGGCTTTCCGTGCCGTCAAAGAGCCCGACCTGCAATCTGCCTTGTTACTGCCCCCACCGGATGGGCCCCTTGAGTCATTCCTCCACCCACGCGCTCCGACGACGACGACGAGAAAGGTCCCTGGTGGACACCCCTCCGGCGCGAGCAGGTGCGCTGCCCCAAGGTCAGTTTTCCCACTTTGTTTTGTAGTTGGAGCGAGTGGCGACGCGAGGACTTCCCTCCCCACACACACATAAAAGTTGGGGACGCGTCGGTGCTGGCCGTCAGTACCTGTGGCGCTCAGGGTGTGAGAGAGACAGAGAGAGAGAGAGCTGCTTCTCTACCATTCCTCGTCTCGCTCTTCTTGTACTTCTTCAGTTAATAAGTGTCTTTTTTCCGAAGTGCGTGATCATCTTCTTCAGATCATCCGGAAGCTCTCCTTTTTTACAACAAAACTCCACCCAATCGCACCCGCACGTAAGTTACTGTTGGAGGGATGTTTTATTGCCTGTTGTGTTAAGAAACTACCTTTTAAGGTAAGGCGCTTTTGTTTACCGTGTACGTCAGGAGGCGAGTGGGACCAGGAGAAAATATTATAGAGAGGAGATTATTTATAGCATAAGAGAGAGTGCCAGCCAGACACACATTAGTATTATTAATAATAACATCTTTATTGACAAAATTTAATTTCAATTTTGCCTTATCTGAGGTGAAATCCTCACCTCAGGATAAGTCTTATTATAGTGAGGATAATGCTGGTATTCACTGTCACGCAGGACAGAGGGTCATACACAAGACAATAGGTCTAAACTGTAGGCGGAAGCACATATTTATATATCATGGTTACAGTCAATGTTTTAATGTATGAATATATAAAATCAACTTTCTATTGTGCACTGCCACACAAGGGCAGGGATGGATTCGTAACAGATGAAGCTTAAAAATAATAAAATAAAAATGTTCTTCATTCTTTATAATGGACAAGCAAATTTTGGATAAATTATTAGGATGTCGTGCAGTACACCAGAGTCAATGAAATAGTTACACAGTTGGTGGTACAAGAGGCCAGGAGGGTTAAAATATTTTACGGTTTCACATTCAACAATATAGTGTTCTAGTGAATGCATTAAAGGTTTGTTACAGAGTTTACAATCTGAATATTCTGGTAATGGCTCAGCCTCACTAGCCTGCTAGGCACACCAAGTGCCAGGTCAGTATGGAAGAGGGTCATCACACTCAGCCTCACTACTAGTTGTTCATCACCACATATCCCTCTACTAGTGTACTAGAAATGATGTCATTATCACCCACACATTACACGACGCTGTCTTTAAAATACTGAGTGACTTTTGTAATTGTAGGAATTTAACTAGTTGAAACTTTTGCTTATATTGCCTAAAGAAAAGTCGGGTTTATGTTAATAAAAAAAATACTTGCATGCTTGAGAATGTACAGGCTTGAGAATGCCTGTATAAAGCTAAGTATTGTATATAATTCATTGTGTCTGAGGATACTAGGCAGCCAGTGTGTATATATATATATATATATATATATATATATATATATATATATATATATATATATATATATATATATATATATATATATATATATATATATATATATATATATATATATATATATATATATATATATATATATATATATATGGCTTATAATGAGTCCCCGTCCCCCCCCCCCTTACGGGCTATTCATGTCCGTGCCATCTCTTGGGTGGTTTAATCTTTATCAATTAATCAATCTGAGCCCCCCCCCCCCCTCCAAGGTGGATTTAACCCAACCAGCCCTAGAACGCAACCCCACAACAAACTAATTATCTATTTTCTTGCTATATACTACATACTTTCTGCAGAATGATGGCAAATCATACGTACAGCTTTTTTATTCAAATTAAGACAATTAGTTTAATGATGTATTAGACAGCAAGGGAAAGTAAAAACACAAGCAATACGATTTGAAAATATACCTCGAATTATCAGTAATTATTTGTTTTTCTGGACAGGTTTCTTAATGTGGTTTTTTCTGTTTTCTCTACAATTTCTTGTTGGAGTTCTCAGCTTTAATGGCAACAAGTACAGGGAACCAACCTGTTCTACCACTTGAATCACCATTACTTTAACGCTATTAACTATACAGCGTCAAAAATCCGACGTTTGAGAATAAATTAAACCGTCGCAATATCGACGGTTTTGAGTATAGGACTCAATAGGCTAGTGGGTCGCCTGGGCTCCTACGCTTCTGGCAAGGCACAACCACTTCTAATTTGACCATACCGTGGTGCAGTACTCACCTGGTTGTGATTGCGGGGGTTGAGTTTCGGCTCTTTGGTCCTGCCTCTCACCGGTCAGTCAACTGATGTACAGATTCCTGAGCCTACTGGGCTCTATCATATCTACATTTAAAACTGTGTATGGAGTCAGCCTCCACCACATCGCTGCCTAATGCATTCCACCTGGTAACTACTCTGACACTGAAAAAGTTCTTTATAACGTCCCTGTGGCTCATTTGGCACATTTGTCCTGTGGCACACACACACACACACACTCATATACATTGTGTGTGTGTGTGTAAGCGTGTGTGCGTGTATGTGCGCATGCGTGCGAATATTTAATATCGAATATTAAATATGTTTGTTTTTTTAGCTTCATTTTTAGTCCGACTCTATCAAGTAAATAGTACAAAAGATCTACTATCTAAACAGGATAATGGGTTGGAACATTGCAATTCTATGAAGGGAGATGCATATAGGCAGGAAGGATATATGTGAATTATCAACAATGTTTTTGTAATATTGTTTCATGAACATAAGGTTAAGAGGAAACGGCAGAATTGACCGTAAATGACAGGCCCTTTGACCATTTCCTGTTAGTTCTGGGATAACTATTGGGATAACTAAATTAATGATTTCACTCAAATCGTTTTGAAACTGATCATTTAAATATGGATTCAAATTATACAAACCATTACTAATGTTCAACCTATGTCTGTAAATTGGTATTAAAGTAGATTTTCAATAATGTTTTCATTTAAAATTATTTTACAAAAAAATTATTGAAGATCACCAAATTGATCATTCAATCGATTTGGTGACAATATTCTGACAAATGAACAAATAGTATATAATTGGCCATTTTTTATGCTCAGAATATTTAGGCTGCGAAATTAAAAATTAAAAATCTTTGGATGTTTGAGCTATATACAACGTATTACAATCTTTACAAGGTATTTTGTAAATGACGCAGTGATCATTACCAGATCTCTTGCTAACCATGGGCACTAGGAAGCTCGAACACCCGACTCTCCAGCATGGGAGGCAGACGCTGAGTTACTAGGCTAGCCATAATAGGGAAGGATCCCCCTAAACAACTAACTGCTACTCAATTGAACTTTTATATATATATATATATATATATATATATATGAGTATGATATGAGCATCACGAACCAGATTGTCTCCAAGGGCTAATTATTTTGGATACCAGAGTGGAGTAGAGTGCCTCAGTTTACACAGTGATTTTTGTCATCTCCAGCTCCTGGCCCCCAGCCGCAGTGGTGATGATGATGATGCCCGCCTTCAGGACTCTGCTGGGCTGCTGCCTGCTGCTGCTATTGGCTGCCCTGTCTTCCGCCATGCCCCGTATGTAGTACCCTGCTGCCCGTTATAGATGTTACAAATTAGGTTAGATTTGGCTGATTCAATTTGATTTGAACTGATTTGAATTTGATTTGAAGTGATTTGAATTTTGATTTGAACTGATTCAATCTAACATAGCCTAGTCAAACCTAAATTAGCATAACATAATGTAGCCCAAACACCATTCCTTTCCCACCGTCCCATCCCACTAATCCTTATCCTGACCCCTTCCAAGTGCTATATAGTCGTAAATGGCTTGGCGCTTTCCCCCTCTGATAATTCTCTCCTTCTCCAAACTACCGACATATTAAGACCTACAAAACGACCAAATGTGCGCATGTGTACGAACTGACTGAAATTCATGACGGGCGAGGTCAGCACAGTCCGGTCACAACCAAACGGTCCCGGGTTCGATTCCCGCGGCAGGAGAGAAACGTTTGGGGGTACATATTTTTTCGTTCACCTGATAACTCTATTCACCCAGCGGGAAATACCTCGATAGGTCTGCCTCCGACAATAGGAAGCTATAAGCCCATAAAATAACACTTAGCATAGAGTCGTTAAGGTCGATGAGCCCAGCTGGTTACTGTTGGAAGGTCGTACCAAGATCCCGCTGTGGAGTCTGTATATTAAATATTTAAGATGTATCTAAAAAAATAAATACTGGTAAAATGCTTGTGGCGGTGTGTGGGTGGCAGGAGGGGGGAGGGAGCTGACAGTCTGGTGTGTGTGTGTGGGTGTCAGGTGTGTGAGCTGACAGTCTGGTGACGTTGTGAGGGTGTCAGGTGTGTGAGCTGACAGTCTGGTGACGTTGTGAGGGTGTCAGGTGTGTGAGCTGACAGTCTGGTGACGTTGTGAGGGTATCAGGTGTGTGAAATGACAGTCTGGTGTGTGTATGTGAGGGTGTCAGGTGTGTGAGCTGACAGTCTGGTGTGTCCACAGAGAACAGCGAGGGGACCAGAGTCAGGACCGCTCGTCAAGCTGACGACGACGACAAGCCGCCCGTCAGGATCGCAGGAGGGCGCAACGCCCCCTTTCCTGGAGTGGTGAGTATATCCCCTGCCCATACTCCTGTTTACATAGTAATTTTTGGTTATACCATCGTACATACATAGACATAATGGGCAGTTAAATAGTAGAATTGCTAAGACCCCAAACTTATATATTCCTAGGCCTAGTATATATATATATATATATATATATATATATATATATATATATATATATATATATATATATATATATATATATATATATTAGGTATCATTCCTTCTATGAAGCCTAGGATCGTTAGGTTAGGATAGGTTCTATTAGCAACATAAATACAATACCTTTTCCGGTTTGTCCCAATTCAATAGTAGAAAATTCTATTTTCTAATTGTCCATTACGTCAATAGATGTACGATGATCTACATCGTTGTAATAAGTACTATATCTCAACAGAAGGATGGGGCTGAATCCCATCCTATAGTAGATCACTCCTATAGTAGATCACTCCTATAGTAGATCACTATAGTACTCAAAAGCCTAATGAGTTCAATGACTGTCTCCAGCATGAAACAAACAGGATATCACCAGGCGCTGATATCGTTCCCTGCCAGACCAGGCCACGATAGTCACTTCCCCGAGGGTAATACAAGTGTGGCTCGGGATGTGGCCAGGTATATATACCTGACACCTGGGGATTTCCTGTTTGTCCTGAGTCGAGTAAAGACTTCTAAGCCCTTCCTCCCCCCCCCCACTTAAACACAGGCCTGAGCCGACAGCGCTCGCAAGTCGTAGTCCTAAGGGCCCCGGGTTTGATTCCCGGCCGAGGCAGGAACAAATGGGAAGTTTCTTTCACCTAATGCCTCTGTTCACCTAGCTGTAAACGGGTACCTAGTAGTGAGTCAGCTACTACGGGCTACTTGCTGGGCATGTGTGTGATAGAGAAATATATATATATATATATATATATATATATATATATATATATATATATGTCGTACCTAGTAGCCAGAACTCACTTCTCAACCTACTATTCAAGGCCCGATTTGCCTAATAAGCCAAGTTTTCCTGAATAATATATTTACTATAATTTTTTTCTTATGAAATGATAAAGCAACCCTTTTCTCTATGTATGAGGTCAATTTTTTTTTATTGGAGTTAAAATTAACGTTGATATATGACCGAACCTAACCAACCCTACCTAACCTAACCTAACCTATATTTATAGGTAAGGTTAGGTTAGGTAGCCAAAAAAAGCTAGGTTAGGTTAGGTTAGGTAGGTTAGGTAGACGAAAAAACATTAATTCATGAAAACTTGGCTTATTAGGCAAATCGGGCCTTGAATAGTAGGCTGAGAAGTGCGTTCTGGCTATTAGGTACGACATATATATATATATATATATATATATATATATATATATATATATATATATATATATATATATATATATATATATATATATATGCAGCAGATATGACAGAGAAAATGAGGTTGGGAGTCAGTACATTAAACAATCAACGGTTAGAAAGGAGGGGTCCAAGAGCCCCAGCCCAGCCCACCACACACACACACACACACACACACACACACACACACCCACACACACACACACACACACACACACACACACCCACACACACACACACACACAATAGGGGGGCCTCGTAGCCTGGTGGATAGCGCGCAGGATTCGTAATTCTGTGGCGCGGGTTCGATTCCCGCACGAGGCAGAAACAAAGGGGCAAAGTTTCTTTCACCCTGAATGCCCCTGTTACCTAGCAGTAAATAGGTACCTGGGAGTTAGTCAGCTGTCACGGGCTGCTTCCTGGGGTGTGTGTGTGTGTGTGTGGTGTGGTGTGGGAAAAAAAAAAAAAAAAAAAGTAGTTAGTAAACAGTTGATTGACAGTTGAGAGGCGGGCCGAAAGAGCAAAGCTCAACCCCCGTAAAAACACAACTAGTAAACACAACTAGTAAACACACAATCCCTGATAATCTCCTGTAACAAATATTGAAGCATGTGTTCCTCCACACTCTCCGCAGGGCGCCTTGGGCAGCTTCTCCAACTCCCTGACCATCAGTGACCGCAACAACAGACGTCCGCCAATAGTCTTCGGCCGCCGGCCACACCGCTTCACCCCCTGGTTCCGCTACTAGCTCCCCCTCGCATCGCCCAGCGCCTGGTTCTGCTATGTCCTACTCTCCACAGCATACAACGTCCTTGTACCTACCTACGGCTCCCTCTCTCTCTCTACCTTGGCGCCGCGTCTGGTCTCCCAACCTGTGAGACAACGAAACTTAAATTAATCTATGGACAATACAACCAACATTTCAGACTTCATGAAAATACGAGGTTACTTTGAGGTGCTTCCTTACCTTGAGGTGCTTCCGGGGCTTAGCGTCCCCACGGCCCGGTCGTCGACCAGGCCTCCTAAGACTCACAAGAACGGGCCACCACACACACAAGCACCCAAGCACACACGCTCTCTATTTTAAACAAAATATATAGTTAAGCTTGATTAAAAGTTCTCCTTAGCACTGTGGTCTGTTGTATGCATTCTGATCTATCGGTGTATTAAAATGCATTTGGTGCAGCTCAAACAGACCGATCACAGATCACTAGACACAAGATGAGTGAGTTTGACGAGAGGAGGAAAAAAGGCGGGATATTTTGACTGCAAGCAAATTATATACAATTCCAGTATAGTGGCACTCACAAATATTATAATGCACACCTATATTGATCTCAACATAAATAATGTTTATAAACACTATATAGAAATATTATATAAGGTATACGGGCAAATAAAAGTGAGAGGAATATGAGTGTTTAATTTGAACTTCTTAAGGAGAGGATGTATATCAGTGTATATATATACACTGAGAGGTATATACATTGAATGCTAAGCGATAAACTATGCGCATGAGTGGCATAAGTTGAAATACAATTAACTTTCATTGAGGAGTAATTGTTTTGCAATCCAGACTCTGTTCTTCAAGCACTTGGGAAGCCCACTTGCAAGACACACAGGAATAACCTCCTAATGAAACCGTATATATATATATATATATATATATATATATATATATATATATATATATAATCACAATGATCACATAATCATTTCAAAGCACAAAGAAATCACAATTGTCTGATATATCAACGAGAAAAATCATTGTGAGGCAATGAGGTGACTTGAACCGGCTTTCTGGTGATTCCCAGACACTCATAAACGCCTTAACCCACAACAGGACGATAGCCAACCCACCCGTCCCAATATTAGTACTGAAGACATAAATCCTTACCACTGTAATCACCTCTGTCAACTTATGTTGTAGTTATTTGTTGATATATAACCCTTGCTACAATGTTATCTTTTCACCTTACCTGATATCTTAGATTAAGAACCAGCCCGGAACGCTATGCATTAGGCAGTGATGTGGTGGAGGCTGACCCCATACACAGTTTCAAATGTAATGATGGAGCCCAGTAAGCTCAGGAATCTGTACAACAGTTGAATGACAGTTGAGAGGCGGGACCAAAGAGCCAAAGCTCAACCTTCGCAAACACAACCAGGTGAGTTCACACACATATATACCTGGTCCTCGAGTCTTGGGTTGAAGAGGCCTAGACAAAAGTGAGGGCGTTAGCCTAATAATTACACATTCGAGGCCTCGCCAAGAATGAGTGTTACACTAAATATTCGAAGCCTAGCCAAGAGCGAGAGTGTCAGTACACTAAGCAGTCGAGGAATAGCGAAGAATGAAGGTGTTTGTACACTAAACATTTCCGTTGGGAATTCCTTTTAAATAATGACGACAACTTTGGCTTCGTTTATTCCTGTTCAATGGTCACGTGACTTCGCTCGAACACTGAGATCGTATTGGTGCCTTTATGGTTAGGTTTATAATGGACAGGTTTAGTTCGATTTGGTTTAAAATGACTATGTTATGTCTTTAGGTTAGGCTTCGTTAGGTATATCTTTATCGGTATTACAAATGTAACACACGTGACAGTTAAATTTGGTTAGTGTTAACCGTTAAATTTGGGTTTCCCAGCCTGTAACGTGTGTTAAGGAGGGGGTGGGGGGAGGGTACCGGCCACCCCGCGGAGGAGCCTCTCTCTCTCTCTCTCTCTCTCTCTCTCTCTCTCTCTCTCTCTCTCTCTCTCTCTCTCTCTCTCTCTCTCTCTCTCTCTCTCTCTCTCAGGACTTACACAAGCCGCCCAGTTGTAGCAAATTCGAAATCCAAATACTTTTACTCATAAATGTTTGTACATTTATAGTTAATTTACACAACATTTCAGTATATTAATTATCTAAGTAATTTAATTCGATCCAGCTCTTGGCCCCGGCCTTCCGCGGCCTCAGCTGGGGTAGGAATTCGCGGCTATTGTTTTCCTTATGAGTCCTTTTCAGGTGTATTTTGAACTGGAGTGGCGGCTTCAACGGCTTCAACTGTTTTAACGGCTTCAACGGCTTTTCAACGTTCTTCGCTGAACCTTTTCCAGTTACATGAAGAAGTTACATACTTCAATTTAGAGTGAAGTTGAATGACAGATTTCTTGTCGTTGTTGCAGAGTGGACTGCGTCGTCAGCTCACAACCGATAGACCCGTGTTCAATCCTCGGGCAAAACAGAAGCGATTGGATATGTTTCTTTATCACCTGATGCCTCTGTTCGCCTAGCAATAACATAGGTACCTGAGGGTTAAACAACTGAAGTGGGTTGCATCCTAGGAAAGGTCAGTATAGTTGACCTCGGGTTGAGTAAGGGACGGAGGGGGGGGGGTATATCCTTAGGCCTAAATACAGGAGGCTTCCTGTTTCCCATCGCTAACAAGTATATTTAGATAAGAGATATGAAACATGCTATGAATGGACACCCTCACAATAAATCACTGAAACCAAATAATTTTAAATTATTTAGTTCTTTTAGAAAGAGGACAGGCAGGCCCACGTCTGTAGGTAAGGGAGGGTAGGCCGCCTTAGGTGTGTGAGCACGAAAACCTCTTTATCTTACCATACAACCCCAACCTCATTAGACTGCCTCTGAGCATGTAGTTTCATATATATATATATATATATATATATATATATATATTAGTATATTTTGGTAGCAGTCTTTCCTGTAGACATATATTATTAAATATGACCGAAAAAGTAAGATTAATAATTCTAACACGAATTTTCTCAATCTTTCGTACATTACGCTTCACTGTTGGAGGTAAATCAAAAATCACTTCTCCAAAATTCATTTTTATTTCTAGTCTGACGCGACACGGGCGCGTTTCGTAAAACTTATTACATTTTCAAAGACTTCACAAATACACAACTGATTAGAACTTACGTCTCTCTGATATTATATCTACATTTGAGTGAGGTGGGAAGGATGATGTGGCATTAACACAAGACAGAACAGGGGATATTAATAGGGTATTAAAAGTATCAACACAAGACAGAACAGAAACAATGGGTATTGAATAGAAGTGTTTGTAGAAAGCCTATTGGTCCATATTTCTTGATGCTTCTATATTGGAGCGGAGTCTTGAGGTGGGTAGAATATAGTTGTGCAATAATTGGCTGTTGATTGCTGGTGTTGACTTCTTGATGTGTAGTGCCTCGCAAACGTCAAGCCGCCTGCTATCGCTGTATCTATCGATGATTTCTGTGTTGTTTACTAGGATTTCTCTGGCGATGGTTTGGTTATGGGAAGAGATTATATGTTCCTTAATGGAGCCCTGTTGCTTATGCATCGTTAAACGCCTAGAAAGAGATGTTGTTGTCTTGCCTATATACTGGGTTTTTTGGAGCTTACAGTCCCCAAGTGGGCATTTGAAGGCATAGACGACGTTAGTCTCTTTTAAAGCGTTCTGTTTTGTGTCTGGAGAGTTTCTCATGAGTAGGCTGGCCGTTTTTCTGGTTTTATAGTAAATCGTCAGTTGTATCCTCTGATTTTTGTCTGTAGGGATAACGTTTCTATTAACAATATCTTTCAGGACCCTTTCCTCCGTTTTATGAGCTGTGGAAAAGAAGTTCCTGTAAAATAGTCTAATAGGGGGTATAGGTGTTGTGTTAGTTGTCTCTTCAGAGGCAACTCTGAACTCTGTCTCTTTAGACTCCGCTCCAATATAGAAGCATCAAGAAATATGGACCAATAGGCTTTCTACAAACACTTCTATTCAATACCCATTGTTTCTGTTCTGTCTTGTGTTGATACTTTTAATACCCTATTAATATCCCCTGTTCTGTCTTGTGTTAATGCCACATCATCCATCCCACCTCACTCAAATGTAGATATAATATCAGAGAGACGTAAGTTCTAATCAGTTGTGTATTTGTGAAGTCTTTGAAAATGTAATAAGTTTTACGAAACGCGCCCGTGTCGCGTCAGACTAGAAATAAAAATGAATTTTGGAGAAGTGATTTTTGATTTACCTCCAACAGTGAAGCGTAATGTACGAAAGATTGAGAAAATTCGTGTTAGAATTATTAATCTTACTTTTTCGGTCATATTTAATAATATATATATATATATATATATATATATATATATATATATATATATATATATATATATATATATATATATATATTACAGAAGATGAATAAAGAATAAAACTAAATCCCAGAATTGTTTAGTGTTGGGCTTTATGTCTCTGGAGGGTTACTTAGACCACCACAATGGCCTACTGATAAGTTTACTTAGGCCTTAAGCATAGTTTTGCAATAAAGTTAACTCAGTGTATGTATACACCGTGATAAGGGAACACTTGCGTTGGTATATTTACTCCAAATACATAGGTTTCTCATGAAATAATATTTTCTTTGAAAGAAACGTTAAAGAAAATAAACTTAATCTGGGGTAACTGTGCTAAACATTTAGGTATCTTAATTCCTGTTGCCGGAGACAAGAAGCCTGAGCTTATATGCACTTTAGGATTGTATCGATATTTTCCCAAAACAACTGAACTTTCCCAGGGCACAAACCATAACAGTTGCCTAATTCCCTAGCACACATTTACTGCTAGGTAAACAGCGGACATCAATTGAATGGAAACGTTGCCCAAACGCTTCTGTCTTGCCTCGGAACATTTCGGCTGTTGCTCGACTATTGACAACTGAGATACACGAGACATAAACATGCCTAAGCAACTGTTAAAGAGCCTAGAGAACCACACGGAGGAATGCAAGTCGTTTACCACCATGGTAAGCGACCACAACAGGTCTCTCGGTAAAGTCTCTTACCTAAGTCTATTGGTAAGCGACCGCAACAGGTCTCTCGGTAAGGTCTCTTACCTAAGTCTATTGGTAAGCGACCACAACAGCCTACGTTATATCATAGAAGGCCAACGTCTCCATCCCATCCAGCAAGCCGAAACTGGTTCCTTAATGATTCTCTCGTCTACCCTGCTGGGTTGTGGCAGTGGGTCCTGTAGCACAGTAGTCTACATCCTCTGCTCACATGCAGGCGACCCGGGTTCAACCACCCTGATGAGGACAGAAACGCTTGGGTCACATTTTTCGTTAACCTGATACCTCTATTTCACCTAGCAGTAAAATAGGTACCAGGGAGTTAGGCAACTGTTGTGGGTTGCATCCTGGGGTGGGGCCAGTAGTAGGCCTAGTGGGGACGTCAGTAAGCTAAACAAACTTCCTGCTCTCCCCCCCCCCCCAGTACATACAAAGGGAAACCAATTGATGCCTTAGAAATAAGTTTTTGTTTTTGCTGAAGGGCTTGTGCCAATAGCTCTCATAAAATGAGAGCTATTGGCATCAAATAGCTCTCATTTGTGATCAACAAGACGTCTTATGGTTGATTATT